CTGAGGGGAAGAGACCTCTGGGGAGACCTAGACGTAGATGGGAGGATAATCTGAGACGCTATCTATGGGAGATAGGAGTTGAAGGAGACTGGATTTTGTTGGTCCGGTGGAGGGCTTTGGTTAATTCGGTGATGAAACTTCAGGTTCGGTAAGCCATCTAGTTAGTCAGAGGTAGCACAAGAAATGTTCAATGCAATACTATTTTCTTCACAAACAGAAAATCAAAAGGGGTAGGCTGCCGGTGAGTAATGCATTTTTTGTCTTAAGCATTGTTGTAATGACCTGTATAGAAGCTGATATGTAGGCTGCCAGTGAGAAATGCATTTTTGGTCTTAAGCACTGTTGTAATGACCTGTATAGAAGCTGATATAGTTCATCTCAAAACTAGCCACGATTTAAAATTTTAAAGTCCTACCTCTTCGAGGTCCTCTGACTGGCCAACATCATCCTCACTATCATCCTCATCTTTCCATTTATTGAAGTCCACCTTCAGCCAATGGTATTTCTTCTTATCTTTCATCAGATGAGGCCAGTATGGTCCATCGTCCTCCTTTTTCTTCAGTACCATTTCGATATTACGGTCACGAACACATTTTACCGATTTCTATACAAAATGAAATAAAAAAGGGACACAAAAATCTGTAAATTCTTTAATAACAAAATAGAGAATTTGGATAAAAAATTCTACTTGGACAGACTCCAACCCTAACTGTGAACTTGAAGAATACCAACACCCATGAGAAATCAAAACACACACACATACTATAATATCAACTGGATTCAATGACAAAAATGTACGTTGGTCATAATTAAACTTCTCACACCAACTATGCCATTTCTTTTACGGATAATGAAGTTAACTTGGTAAACCATTCAGAAAAAAACACGTTTTCTAGGTTTATGCACGCTGTTGATTTTTAAAACGCAGTAAATGTTCATTTTCAGACAATATATACATACCTCAGGGTCAATTTCTTTGAAAAGCGGTATTGTTACTTCGTGGTCCTTCTTCTCTGTTCCGCCAACTCCATGAAAATATATTTTATCGTTGTTTATTTTGATTTCGGGGTTCTTGCAGTCTTCGAGACAAATTGTAAGAAAAATCACATTATTCCTCTGGGCCCACATTACTGAGGGAGGCACAGCCCTAGAAAGGAAAAGAAAGACCAAACGTTAATGGTTGCACCGACTATTTGGAAATAACTGAGAAGCCATTAAAAATGACTATTTTAAAATAATTACGATATTCAACTAAAAACGTACTCATTTTCATGAACCATTTTTAATTTTCTTAAGGAGACTGGGCCGTAAATAGATGTTGGACACAAAGGGCACGACGAAGCACGCTGCCGCTACCACTCCTAAATCACACTATGCACAACGTGTTATCTGACCTGCAAACTTAGCTATAATGCGATCCACACACTTGTGTACTATGTGAAAGACTAATCGCGATCACAGTTTTCACTCTTCAGTTTGAATGCGAAAGCTTTCCACCACCTAGTACAACGTTACTTTCAGGAAATGTCGGGAATCAATACACGCAAGCCAGCCCCAAATCAAAGATGGCGGCCATTCGAACTAATTCTATAGCATTAATAGTGCAATTGCCTTCTACTTTATACTATATTAAAAACCCAACTTCAATAAATTTTAAAATACAGCCTGTAAAAGGTGGCAAAATAAACAACAGTAAATAATGAACATTTATGTACTTACTGTTCTTCAGCCGACATCTTTGCGCAAAGCGAATTAAGCAGCGGTAGATTGCGCTTGTCACGATCGATAGTACAAACGATTTTCCATACGAATTCTGATCGATTCTTAAAATGCAGTTATTTCGGTTATAGATGGCAATACGGTCGACCAGTGGATGCTACTGCCATCTTAAGCGAATGATGAGAACCATGTCACTTAATTTACGCTTTTACTGTCAGGTAGCGGGATCGTCGGTTATCGTACGCTTCTGCCATCTTGAGTCTATGTCATTCATTGCGTCATGTGAGACAGATCAAATGGGTCTTATGGCATCGGTGCTGGTTTCGTGAACGGCTTTCAAACGTTACCCGCGTTAATCATATAACAAATGTTCAGCTCGCTAAATGGACGTGGCGATAATTTTTAAAAGAACAGCTTTTCGTGTGATTACTAGTGCGGCCATGTTTTAGAATCGTGTTAGTAACAAACAATTTCAAGTGATATATATTCAGTTTCTTCTGTGTGTAATGGTGATTTCAGTGTTGTGGCTATGCATGTTCTTGTACGAAATATTATATGTGCTACCGCAAATTGATGTGTATTGCTGAGGAGTTAAGGTGAACACCATGACGTCTCTGTTCAAAGATACTTTCTGGGTAAGTAAATCAGTGTTCATTAAGGTCCTATGTCCTCATCTTCATTATTATCAGACTTGTAACGCCCCGAATTACAGGTGCAGAGCTGAACGTTAGGTGTTTACAATTAGAATGCCATTGGACATGAGTTGGCGAACAGAATTTGTTTAATATAGGCACGCAGTTCACTTATTACTGCGCACTGAATAATGTTTAATGAGTGGCCTTGGCATTAATTTTTGTAATGGTAATGAATGGAGAGACAGAATAAACAGTACCGAAATCGATGCCCGCTCTCAGGAGTTCAAATTCTAATTACAAAATTTAAGAAATTTTAGACAAGCATTCTTTTTTGATTTAGGGTAGATTCAATTCGGAATTTAAAACAGCTGTATTATTAACTTGATAAAATAGATTAATATGTGATGGACGGGGAATGTAGCATGCATAGGGCCCATGATAAAGGCGTGCAAGGTTTTGGTTTTTAAAGTCTGAAGGGTAAAGTCCACTTGGAAGGAAGGATAATATTAAAACGTAACACAAAGAAATACTACGGAAGGAATGACCGAATTAATCTGGATCAGGATAAGACGGGTGATGGGATTTTGTCAAGACGGTAATGAACATTATGGTCACGTAAAATCCGTGGAATTTCTGAGTACCTGAACGAGTAAAAGTTTATGAAATAGGACTTTGTTGCACGAAATTCGGGAAATGCTTGAGTTGTTGCTGTTATTCCGTTAAGAATCTTATCTCCCCGAGTCTTGTACAGAACGTAAATATTAATTAATATGTGCAAAATTATAACTGACGTCTTATCCTACGGGAAGAATATCAGAGTGTTTACAGCAGAATACTGAAGAAGGCATTTCGACTTAAAGGCAGACAAAGGGATTTGATAATGGACAGCTTACCCGGAAAAGCAGTGAATATTGTTTTAAATATTAATAATTGAAAACAAATGACGAGAGAGGAACCCACCCTCGTGTACCTGCTGTTGTAGTCTCTTTAGGAACTCCCGTGGCGTCCAAGGCCTTTCTTTACCTCTGTCAGGTTTAACTGCCGAGTTATTACGTAGAAGATAAACAAAAAGTCGTCTTTATGAGGTGTACTTTTGACCTACAAAACGGGCGACGTTGCCACACGTGCTATCTTCAGCGTGTATAGAAATTTTATAACTGCTAATTGATGCAAGAAATAATTTTATTTACTTTTCAGTGTTACATTGTTTGTTAAATTCGTCAGTTTTGCATGTGATGACTTGCGCAGTTTGGCCGTTGTTACGAAGCAGAGCCATCTGTCTTTGCTGTGTGATGTTTACCACACGACTATATATCCGGCCTCCTTTTGAGGCGTTACGCAAAGCGAACTCCTTATGAGGAAGAGTGAATTGTCTGCTTGTTTCAGTTTCAAAATTTATTTGAATCTGGATCAAATTTTTTTAAAGACATGTCTGCATAAAATTTGTTGATGGAAACTATTACAATTCCATTTTTACGTAGATAAATAAATTTAACATTCACGTATCTTATTTAAATATAGCACGAAATAGAATTTGCATATTTGCTGTACGCTTATTATGTCATGTATGATGAACATTTCCTTTTTAACTCTTTAGAACTCCTCAGTTAGCGAGATTTATTTTTGTATTTATGTGTTTATGTATGATTCTCCCTATAAAAAGCTATTATTTCCTTACACAGAATTAAACAGCTGATCTTTGTAATGGTAAAGTGTTCTGTTTTCTTTGCGGTACGGACTGAATCAAAATTATTTAGACGAGCTTAGACTTTAAACTGATTCGAACCTAAAGAACACGCAAGTGATTATTTTAACTTTTATAACGTTATTTATTCGTGCTAACTGTTCAACCCATGTTACTGAACTTGATATAATCGTCTCTGTATTTTGTTACATTGTTTATCCGATGTCTTCACATCTTAATCAGCTGTTTGGTCACGAATATCGTCTTAGAGGTCTGTTCATCCCTCGTAATTGACAAGTTTCACAAACGTAAGAGATTAAATAAGTTACAGTTTCATTTATTTCTTATATTCAGACAAGATATAGGAGGACGATTGATTCAGAACCGAATTATGTGTAACGAAAATCACGCAGATGAGTTGCGTGAATAGAAATTGTACCGCGGACCATCTGAAAGATGCTCGCGGACCACTGGTGGTCTGCGAACCACAGGTAGGTATCCTATGATCTGTGTGATGCTGATCAACAAGATGAACCTCTTTTACGTCTAACCAGTCCTTGTTGTCAGCCTTGAAGGTATAAAAAGATGCAAAGTCGGTCTCGTAGCGTTTATAAGTTGATTGCCTAAATAGAGCCTTGAAACTTGGTAGGTATAATCACCGTAAACACCAAAATGTTTACGTGTTTGGATGTGAGGGACGTATATTGCCTTAAAGTTAGTTGTTTTGTTACAAACGGAAGAAAGTAGAAAATGAAAAAAAGATAGGAAGATGTTATTCGAGGCATTAAAATACCCCCGTGCCCCAGCGAACGAAAAGATTGATAGGTCATGAACATTTCCGAGACTGGTTTGTAGGAAGACGACGTGTCTGAAGAAATTAACCTGGAAACGTCTATGGCTCGTGTGCCTTCCAGTCATTGTAAGTAAAATGCATCCAGTGTTGTTATTTTATCCGAGAAACTTGAGGGACAGTTTCCGAGAAATAAAACCCATGGGGTGTGAGATGGGCAGGGCACAGAAGATGAGATATTCGGAAACACTTAAATTGGAAGGCCTGAAAAGTGAGTAGAATACGTAAATAGATAACTCGGGAGACCTAGGGATTAACTTTTCGCTTCAAAGCGTCAATGGAGTCGGCTTGTTTTGCGTGGTGTAAGTTTATCGACGTTTCAGAAGTGTTTATTGCTTGTAGTATCGGATAATGGAGGAAGTAAGCACCTTCGAAACGTCGGTTAGTATGTGTGAGACCCGGAAGAAGGTCAGCTTTATACGAGGACGTACTCCGATGCAGCTCCATTAACATTTGGTTGTAAAACACTTCTTGCCTAGAGGGTCCAAGGTGAAATTCTCTAGTTCCTCATCTGAATTCTTTGATTATTAATGTTACAGTGCGAGGCGAATACAATAGACAGACCGACTTCTTAATTTCTCCAGAGAACAGTAGGTCGTTTGAGATCAATGGCGTGAATATGAAAATTAGAGAAATTTGTACGGAAAGCCCTGCTTTCTTGTTAGTAAACGTAATCGTCTGTCTGCTCTGGATTTCTGAATCGTAACGCAATGCCGTCTTGGTAGCTTACTAACGTATCGCCTTCATCTTCATGGTTGAAGATTAGAATCGACAACTTTACCGCCGTGAGAATTTCAAGTCTCAGATCATTTTTGTTTCGCGTCATGCGGATTAATAATTTGGAATTTCTGTTAGAATTCATCGCGATTTAAAACTGACGAACGTTTGGACTGCAGGTTTGGTTGAATTCAGTTCGGTTCTCTGCATCGACAGTCAGATAGTCGATTACAGATTTAGCACAAGACTGAAATAATAAATACATCTAAATAATAGTAATCAAATTGTCATGAAATTACAGACCTGTAGTGAAGGTTAACACACAGAAACAATAATTGAATTATGATAAATTAATAATAATATGCATTATGTAATTACCAATGTAAAACAACAACAAAAATTACAAAAAGCTAATAACTGCATGGATTTTTGTTAAATGTGGTATTGGTTGTCTACGTTGGAAGTTTTTGATTTTTAACGATGTTTATTATTGTCAAAGCTTTATATGAAGAATATTCTTACGAAAGATTATTTATTTATTTAGTGTTCTGTGTGACGACAGGTCCATATGAACAGGATCCTTCCATCCTTTTCTCGGACTGGGACCTGTTCATATACGTTCTTGGCAGATGATCCAGAAGTGGTTTGCCATTGCCTTCTTCTGTGTGTGAATGGAGTAATTGTTGGGATGCCACGGAGGAAAACTCCGTGTTGCCTAGACCACGGCCTTGCCCAACACAAGTTATAAATTCGAACCCGAGACCCCAGGATTACAAGGCCAGCGTTCTGACCGCTAGACCATCGACGCAGAATGTAGATTGAAACATTTAATTTTTAACGAAATTCAGGGGGAAATAATTTTGATCCTGTGTAGACCTGTCGCAATTTGATTTCTGTAATATTATTGGCTTTGCGAAAGTAGACATGGATCTGGAATAAATTAAAGCATAGACCAGATAAAAAGAAAGAGTTG